GTAAAAGAACTCCTTTGTCTTGCATTACAATGGGGGCACTGAAATCCTTTAAATATTTATAACATTTTGGGATAAGATGCGAATCCAACTTCTCTGTCTGATGCAACTCGAGATACACAAGTTACATTTTTGGCTTCTACAAGACACGTTTCACACACGCACGCACATATATTTCTCTTTCACCTTATTCCGATCCTCTTTCACAATAGTCTCACTGCTCTTTCATGTAGCTTGAAGCATATCAGCTTCACTTTCATCCCCTTAATGACTTGTTTCTCATCACAGGTGGACTTCACCTCCTGCGGCGGACTCCTCTGCATTGCGGCCGTTCTGCTCATGATCATTGGGATTGTTACAGCCATCGTCCTCTCCTTCCAATATGTGAGCCTGCTCTGGTCAAGTCATTTAATTTATTCTGTCTACTCGTGTTTCTCTGCGTGAGGAACAGCAGCTCCCAAGGGTGTATCTGTGTGACTGATTTCACATTCAGGAGCCTTTCTTATGTCACTCAACAGGTCCCCTGGCTGCATATGCTCTACGCTGCAATTGGAGCCATAGTTTACACTCTGGTGAGTCCACACTGACACAAAATTAGACCGAGTATTTCTTCTTGGGATTATGAGTCTGTTGTTGAAAAGCAAGCGAGACATTAGCAGTCCTTACACCCCCAATACATAGCTATTTAGGAGCCCTAAATAATGTGGTGATAATCTACTATTCATCATCGTATTTGTCTTGATTTTGATTGGTCTATCAAATAAAAGCTTTTTTCACCTGAGAACTATGGAAGTGTCGTGCCAGCTGACATGTTTTTTTGTGATTTGCCTTTCGTTAAATCAAGTTTTAGTCTAGGAGTGATGCCAAAGGAAGAAGCTCCAGCATGTCCAAAATTCCAAAACGGACATGATCAGTACATATCGTGGAAATTTTTCCACTGTGTTTTGATATGTGTAACAATGCCGCAGGCATTGTAGCAGAGATATTAGTCATTCTGTCTGCAACTTTAGTCCAGACAGGATAACTGCAAAAACTGCACTGCTTAACCAAAAAAACAAAGAAGGGAACACTCAATCTTCAGTTTAACACAAAGTCTGTTAACTTCAGAGATATCAGGATGTCCAGATAGAAAGCATAAACTATTGTGAATCCAATAAAAAGGTGATAACAGTTGCACGGGAAAGGCAACAACAAGACAACCTCCAGAAAGGGAAGGTTTTTTGATGGATTTTTCTCTAGTTTTGCTTTTTGCTGGGTCCTTTTTGCTACTTGGTAGCATGAGACAGCACCTGCAGCCTCCACAGGTTGCTCAGCTCCATCAGTAAGGCACAGGTTTGCCATGTCAACAGGCCCGTTACACGAGCAGCACTGCCAGAGCCCTACAAAGTGACCTCAACCAGGTTGTTTGTGCATGTTTACAACCAAAATGTCATCAAGAGACTCCTTGAACATGACATGAAGGCTCAGTGTTCCTAGGTGGGTTCTGTGGTCAGAAACCAGCATTGTGTAACTCAGCTTGCAGGTTCACCACCAACACAGTGTTCTTTTCACAGATGATGTTGCAACAAGCTAACGTTTATTACGGTGTCTCCTCTCCCTTTCACCCCTGTCACATGCTTTCTTTAGTAAAAGAGGTAAAATCAGTTTTCCCTAATCGAACAGACGGATATTCATGAAGTTCCAACTATGATCAAGTGTTCCTTTCATTTTTTGCGCAGTGTATAAAGTGAATTGGGTTGTTTTTGGGACATTTTATCATTTCCTGTTACAAACATGATTTCCACATTCATTGTCCCAATAGGTTTTTTAAACAGGAAATCTCACTGTATACATGTTATAGCACTTTTTAATGTGGTTTTCCCATAATGCTGGGGATTGTCTGACCTTTGCTTTTGTACCATTATATTCAAAATATAATTTACCCAAACTTTTTACCTTAGCCTTTGTTTACCATTCCTGTCAGTCTCAGCTATATTTGGAATTTTGTGTTAATGAGTAAATATTAACACAGCAACACACGAAAAGGGTTAAATTAAACGCACCACCACATGTTAAGAACAGAATCACAAAGCCATTAGTACAGTTGTAGCCTCACATGATACAGGATGTAAATTTTCTTGTTGGTCATAGTGAGTGACACGTAACAGTCCAAAAACCAAAAGTTTTAATTAATGGTCACAAACATGACAAAAGACTAGAAATGTTGCAGCATTTTTCCTTGTATTCATGTTTTTTATATCAATTTCCTCTTTCCTTTTTTTCCTTACATTAGTTTTTAGTGTACAACACCCAACTTCTTATCGGAAATCGGGAGTTGGCTATCAGCCCAGAGGAGTACGTCTACGGAGCGCTTTCTCTTTATGTTGATATTGTTCACATCTTCCTCTTCATCCTTCAAGTCAGCGGAGCTGCGACTGAATGAGCCAGCGGTTGGAGTTTGTATATCGTATTTGCTGGCAGACACACAGCAAACCGTCAGAAAGATTATTACTTATTTTTTCTACATCAGTAACACTCGAGCACTTTGTTTGTTGCGCTGTATGTAGCAGGACTGCAGCCGCAAAGCTTACACTTAGCCCGTGTAAAGGAAGAGAGCTGCTTAAGCTTTGCACATTTGTATGCATTTTAATATTTATGTTCACGTTAAGGAGTGTAGTACTCTCAACTATTACTTCGATCAAACCTCCTCATTAACAAAGTGTTTCTGCCTCCAAAAAAGGGAACAAAGCCATTTACAGATCAACACATTTGTTTTTATTATTGTCAGCGCTTAGACTTACAAAACATGTGTAGTTGGAGGCATACTGCTGGACACCACAATCATTAGTCAAACATCTGTGCTGGTAGTAAGAAGGTCTAAGATCTGTTTGTTATGTACTTTTCATTTTTCTAAAGAGAAAACCCAGAGAACACGGACTCACCGATTAAAAAAAAAGAAAAGAGTTGTCTTCTTGAATCCCTGGCCATTTCCTTTGTTCTCTTTAATGTTTCTGTTATTTGTTGTTGTTAGAAAACGGTGCACACCGATCAATAAATCATACCTTACTGTTATAACTGCTTTCTTCATGTCGGTGGTTAATTACAGTAACACGTTAAGAGTTCTAGGGTGGCATTAGCTCCTATATATGTTCTCCCTTCCTTGATTGTGGATTAGTATTGTTTCCCGTCACCAGTATTTATGCGTCGTCCACACCAGAAGGTTTAAGGTGTCAGGCGCTTGGGGTCACGTGGGAACATGGAGGTCTGCCGGACGTTGTGGAGACCCAGGTAGAGCATGCAGACTCTCTCCAGGCCTGTGAAGAATGACATCTTTATCAGTTTTTTTATTCTTACAAAAAAACCAAAAACCATTCCTGTAGTTCCCCCGACAAAACACATTTCTTACCAATGCCTCCGCCGCCATGCGGGGGAGCTCCATACCGGAAGGAGTCGATGTATGCCTTGATCTTCTCCAGATCTGTACAACAAACAAAAGAGAGGCACAAAAATGTTCTAGTGTTGTTCCGCTGGTTGCCAACAGAGGGAGACAAATCATTTGAATTTCACTCAATGCTCCTCAAAAAGAAACGGAAACATCTCTTTTTCTTACCGATCTGATGGTGGATGGCTCTTTCTGTCAGCAGCTGAGCATCGTGGACTCTCTGAGCTCCGGAGAGAATCTCTTCTCCTCTCATGAACATATCATAAGAATTGGAGTATTTCTAGACAAAAATAAAACAAACTCAGAAATCAGGTTCTTCTCACATGTGATGATGACAGGAGGGGGTTAAAAAAAAAAAGAAAAGAAAAGAAAATTAAAGTCAACCAGACAAGGTAACACTGGCACAAAACTTGGGTAACAACAATGATTATGACAGGAAGATAAGGAAATGAAACCATATTCATTTTTTAAAGCCAAATATTAACAGAAATATCAGTCTGGCAATTGAAATTCACACAGGTAGCATAAAAAATGTAGTAAACTGGCAATTTTGTGGCATTGCTCATGGATGATGATGTTTTTTCTTGACTTGTCGGGACAATATCAAGAAAAAAAAAGCATCACGTTGCCCACAGGAGCCACGGTACAAATTTAAGAGGCTGGTGTGTTTGGTATGTTTGATGTGTGAGTGAAAGACTTACAGGGTTGCTTGGATCAGGCATTGTGTAAAACGGTCTAACAGCCAGCGGGTACTTATCAAGCACATAGAAGTCAGTATCATACTGTGGAGAGGGGGGGAAAAAAAAAGAGGAGTGAGAGTCAATAACTGCATACAAAAGGATTAATAGAGACACACACGTATCCTCTTCTCTATTTATGTGATGCAACTGTGAGCTTGAATAATAAAATACTTCTCCAGGATACTGTAGAGTCTTTATCTTACAGCATAAAGCAGCTTTTACTGAAGGAGGTCGTCTGAAGAAGACTAACGGCTCATATATACAAATTCTGGAGTTCTAATATCCAAATTGGCTTTTTACTACTTTTAAAAATCACTCGTGTTTTTATCTGACCTTCATACATAAAGGCTACGTGATCCATTGTTGGATTATGTCACATTCATAATTTTGACATTCAATGACTGAATCACATTTGAAAACAAACCTTTTCCTTGACGAGGCGGCCAAGCAGCTTCTCGTTGGGTGTACTACAAAACAGCAAAAATACATTGAGTTTAATAAAGACAGACACATCTCACATTGTTAAAATATTACTTAAACTGATTGTAATCAGTGAATCATCTACAGTTATTATTTCTCACACTGTTTTTTAACGTCACTGCAGATTACAGCTTTGATCACAAGGATTACTTCAATGCTGAGTTACTGATGTGATCTTTCACATCCTCTCTTTAAGCACATGTTACAATTTACTTCTGCTTTTATCAAAAGAAATCATCTGACAAGATGAGTTGGCTGTGGGGAAAAGGCTGTGTGATGTATTCTAACCTGAGGTCATCCTCGTCACCCATTTCGACCCCGGCCTCACGCAGCATGGCCACAGCCTCGGTGTACTCCAGTCTAAGAGTCGGCTCCAGGAATTTGAAAGGCTCACTTGGGAACTGCTTATTCACCGTCTGGATCTCTGTCTGGAAGCTGACGCAGAGGCACATGCATGGTTGAGTTTCCAGAGTGTTGAGAGGACATAATGCTGACTTTAATTCATTTTCCTGGGAAATTTCCCCAAACCACTAATTTTTTTTTTAACCCAAACATAAAACTTCACATACGCCAATAGTTTTCCAATCATGATTGGAGTATGTAATGGTGATTTATATCTATGTAAAAATACTGTTACAAGTGTTACTGTGAAAAAGGGTCATGTCGCCCTTCTTCATATTTTGCTTCCAAGGAAACATGCTGTCTTAAAAAGCTTTAAAGTGGTATTGGATAATAGTTCTCCGGTTTTCTGAACCACTTTCAAAGTTCTCTCATTTTATGTCCAGTGGTTGTACCTGGACTTAAAATGACTGACCCTTAAATAAAACACTGACCCATAAATAATTAATGCACAAAAGGCCTCCCAACTCAAAGGGCAAACCAGTGTTTAAACATAACAGACAACTTAGCAAAGAACCAATCTAAATTGTATCTTTGTGCACTTTGTTAGCCTGATGCCCCCCCCCCCTCCATTTTTTCCACTGTCTTTAGTTTAATCTACAAAAAATGACAATGATAACACAGTTTGATGAGCATAAAAGGATAATTTTGCACTAAAAAGGTGATTCCCAAAAGGCTATTAGCCAAAAAAACGTGGCATAACTTGGCACGGTGTGGAGTACGCGCCTAAAAAAAAAAATGTAGTAAACTAAACAAGTGGAGGACAAATGAAGAAGTAGCAGGCCTAAAATTCTACATGAAAAGCATCTGAAAGTCATACCCTTAATAAACAATTCAGCTAAGAAGTGAAACAGGGGCCTGAGAAGTGCATTTTTCTGGAGCCTCATCAGAAAACATCTCAAGAAGCCAATTTAAAGGAGGGGATTTGTGATAAAAGGCCAAACTACACAAGAAATGAACTGAAAGTCATCGGCTACAGGTCCGATGGACTGATGAATACATAAATTTGAAATTCGTGGCTCAAATTATTGTCAGTACACATGGTGGATGTCACAAGAGATGCCCATTTTTCTAGAAAAGAAAAAAAAAGAAAAAGAAATGAGGGGTGATGCGAGACTTCTGCACAGTACTGCACGTACACAAACACAAACGACAATCTACCATCCAAGGACTCACAATTCTGTCCAGATGGAGACAAATACCAGACTAATGGTCACAACTCACATTTGACTCTATTTTCTTGGCCAAGCTGTACTAATGCCTTTCACTAATTTCTGATTCTTTGATTTTTTTTATATCACAATTAGAAACATTATGACACCAAAAAGAGATTTTTAACAACTAAATGATATTTTTTAAAGACACCTAACAAATTTCACTTGTATTTACTGTGAAATTAAAAGGAGATGACAAACAGAGCATGGAAAGGACAAAGTCATCTGTGCTTCATGTGTTAAAACAGAAGTACAAAACGCATGCAAAACACTTTCACACGTCAAGGGAAACAGTCTGAAAAGTCATGAGAACAAAGGGCAAAAAGTCAAATGGGCCTGAGAAAGAGGAACAGTGGTCACAACCTGAAACTAACCAACGTCACAGACATTAAAAAGGGAATTCAAATTAAGCTAGTTGACACCTTACTCAGTGTTCCACTGATTTAACGTGGTTCCTCTGGGGATTTACTTTATAATAAAAGACTTGTAATCCCAGAATAAAGCATGAAGCACTGCAAACCCCCTTCTGAGTTTTCACTGTAATAAATACGTCCAAAAACCACTGACATTCACAGACGTATGTCGTCAGAAACGTTACAGTTTCCACACAGAAACAGTTTCGCCCAGTATTCCTCTTTTATTTTAACCTTTGATGTTGAAGCTCTTATTGCCTGCTGTACCGAGTTCCACCACACAGAGGCAATAAACCCACATCTTATCGTCATCTTGCTGGCAGTTCACTAAACAGTTGGAGTGGAAATTGCTGACATTCATCTAAGCAGACAGCCATATGTGATGACATTTAATTAATCTAGATTTAGCAGTTACATAGTTTTACTTAGACGTACACACTTTGACATTTTGCTGGCTGTAAAACTAAATAATTCAGCTCAGTGTGTTGCAGAAGTTGGTCTGCAACACACCAACAGTTTTAGGTTCATCTTTTACCTTAACTCAATAAATGTGTATCTTACTTGTCTCTCAAACCCTTGAAGATCTGCACCATGGTGTCAGTGATGGAGTCGATCACTTCGTGGTAATGGTAGTTGAAGGCCATCTCAATATCCAGACCCACAAACTCGGTCAGGTGACGGTGCGTGTTGGAGTCTTCCGCCCTGAAAACTGAAATGACGCTGATTTAATACGAGTGCCTAAACAAAGCAAACTGCGGTGGTGTGGAAGCAACGAAAGGTTTCTGCACATCTCCGGGAATAAAGTGTCATTGTACTCGAAATTCCTAAATTTGGACGGCTCACAAAACAGAAGCCCATATAAAGGATCATCAAGCTTACAACCTGGCTTCTGAATCACCGCCACGTAAAGGTTTGTGAAACAATGACGATGTGTAGATGAACGGAAAGTTGACGATAATCAAAACGCTTATATCACTGTGAAATGTAGGTGCTTGCACTATGGCTGATTGAGAGGTACTTTAGAAACTCTGTATGAATGCGGCTGCCAATAAATAATTCCTGACTACTGTATTATTCTAAAGCAGAGTACTTTACAAGTACTTGTATGGTGAATTAATAACATCATGGCTTCTACTTTCATTTAGTGGGAGTTAGCGGTCATACTCGAGGACGGCTGCTCGATTGCTGTTTTTACAGGTTTACAGACTGTCAAAAATGTTCTTAAAAAGGCACGGACACATCTGATTAAATGTGTTTCTGTATCTACATACTGTGGCTGGATTACCTGGAAACCACGCATGTGCACACGCACACAGTTTCACAATGACTGAGATTCAAAAATACAACCATGCATACAAAGTTTTATTCAATTGTGTCTGAAACAA